TTATGGTATTATCATGAAATCTCATCTTCTCTTTCCCAAAAGTTCCATGGTCCCCTTGGCTCAATTTAAAAAGTTGAAAGATACATTTTTGTGCCAAGTTTTCAAAACATACCTTCTGATACTGCTAGCTTCATAGGGATACTAGGACGATTGCTTAAGGTCATAAATATTTTATTTCTCTTGAATTTTTCATATATTTACAACTCGCATGAATAATTGAAAGTAGCTCATATACACCATTCATAGTTACATTGTGCAATACTTTTTCAGAAATCTGTTATGTATTTGAAAGGTGTGGAGGAGTCTCAAAATAAAAGTCTATTTAAAATAAGCTCTTCCACTACAAATTCTGGCACTGGAAAGAGATATTTTACTCTAATGCTTCTCACAACGGGGTTTGATTTTCCCTATAAATTCTAATTTACATCTCTATTGAACACATAGCTCAAAAATCAAGTGGTCTGAGTTGTCTGGAGTTTGTTTGAATGGAATTCATTTTTGTAAGAATAAAATTATGCATTTAAAAGAAAAGGCGCTCAATGAGTGGATGTAAGGAGACAGAGAGATGGAGATAGAGGCAGATAAATGCAGTGGTACTAACTTGAGAAATAAAGGTCAGCCCTTCTGTACTAGCCCCCTTTCCCCAGCCTCATTGTAAAATGCTGCCAACTTTCAGTTTCCATAAATAGACACCATCATTAACTTTCAGCAGGTCAGAACTGTGAGAAAGTACTACACTGTCTTGGCCAACTTTAGCTGTGCCATGAAATCACTTAAAGTAAATGAGAAAAAACAATAATCATCAAATATAAATGTAAATAAAAGTGTAAATAGTTTTGAGGGAAAAGTCTATGACATAAAAGCTTTTTACTCAGTCTATCATACATGTGTGATGGCAGGAGAAATTCATTTGAAGAATATGTTAGGTCACACGTCATATGCCAATCATTTATATTTTATTTTAAAATATAGCTCTTTAGCAAAATTTACAAACAACTCATGTAGCTCAATATCAAAAAACCAAACAACCCGATCAAAAAATATGCAGAAGACCTAAATAAACATTTCTCCAAAGACATACAGATGGCCAAGAGGCACATGGAAAGATGCTCAACGTCGTTAATTATTAAAGAAATGCAAATCAAAACTACAATGAGATATAACCTCATACCAGTCAGAATGGTCATCATCAAAAAGTCTACAAGGGAACCCTCCTACACTGTTGTAGGAAATGTAAATTGGTACAGCCACTGTGGAGAACAGTATGGAGGTTCCTTAAAAACTAAAAATAGAGCCACCCTATGACCCAGCAATCCCACTCCTAGGCATATATCCAGAGAAAACCATAATTCAAAAAGATGCATGCACCCCAATGTTCATTACAGCACTGTTTACAATAGGACATGGAAACAACGTAAATGTCCATAGACAGAGGAATGGAAAGAAGATCTGGTACATATATACAATAGAATATTACTCCGCCATAAAAAAAGAATGAAATAGTGCCATTTGCAGAGACGTGGATGGACCTAGAAATTGTCATACAGAGTGAAGTAAGTCAGAAAGAAAAACAAATATCAAATAATATCACTTATATGTGGATTCTAGAAAAATGGTACAGATGAACTTATCGGCAAAGCAGAAATACAGTCACAGATGTAAAGAACAAACTTATGGTTACCAAGGGGGGAAAAGGGGTGGGATGAACTGGGAGATTGGGATTGACATATATATAAACTACAAATAATAAATGCTGGAGAGCAATCCCACTCCTGGGCATATATCCAGAGAAAAACATGATTTGAAAGGTTACATGCACCTCAATGTTCATTGCAGTACTGTTTACAATAGCCAAGACATGGAAGCAACCTAAATGTCCATCAACAGATGAATGGATATAGAAGATGTGATACATATATACAGTGGAATATTACTCAGCCATTAAAAAGAATGAAATAATGCCATTTGCAGCAACATGGATGGACCTGGAGGTTATCATACTAAGGGAAGTAAGTCAGACAGAGAAAGACAAATATTATATGATATTGCTTATATGCAGAATCTAAAAAAAAAAATGGTACAAACAAACTTATTTACAAAACAGAAACAGACTCACAGACTTAGAGAACGAACTTATGGTTACCAGGGGTGAAGGGTGGGGAGGAGGGACAGATTGGGAATTTGGGATTGACATGTACACACTGCTATATTTTAAATAGATAACCAGCAAGGACCTACTGTATAGCACAGGAAGCTCTGCTCAATACTCTGTAATAACCTAAATAGGAAAATAATTTTAAAAAGAATAGATACATGTATATGTGTATAACTGAGTCACTTTGCTGTACACCTGAAACTAACACAACATTGTTAATCAACTCTACTCCAATATAAAATAATTTTTTTAAAAAATATATATAGCACTTTAAGATACAGTCAGCTATTAGCTGCAGGTTTTCCATAGATGTTTCTCATCAAGTTGAGGAAGTTCCCCTCTATTCCTACTTTGCTGAGAGTTTTATCGTGAACAGGTGTTGGGTACTGTGAAATGCTTTTTCTAGGCCAACTGATATGATCAAATGAATTTTCTTCTTTACCCTGCTATTGGTACAATGAATTACAGTGATTGTTTTATGAATTTTGAACCAGCTTTGCATATGTGGTAGAAATCCCAGTTGGTCATTATGTGTAATTCTTTTAATATGTCATTGCAATCTACTTTTGTTGAGGATTTTTATATCTACATTCATGAGAAATGTTGGTTTGTAATGTCTTCTGGTTTTGGTATGATGGTACAGCTGGCCTCATAAAATGAGTTAGGAGAGTTCTCTGTACTACTATTTTCTGGAAGAGACTGTGAATTCACCAATGAAACCATCTACACTTCTTATTTGGGAAGTGTATTAATTATTAACTTATTTAATAGATATAGGACAATTCAGATTACCTACTTCTCCTAGTGTGTGTTCTGGTACTTTGTGTCTTTCAAGGAATTGGCCCACTTTAACTAAGTTATCGATTCAGTGGCTACAAGTAGTTCAAAGTATTTCTTTACATGCTTTTATGCCCACAAAATATGTTGTAATGGCCCTTCTTTAATTCTTTGTATTGGTAATTGGTGTCTTCTCCATTCTTCTTGGTTAGCCTGGCTAGAAGTTTGTTAACTTTAATATTCTTTTCTAAGAGTCAGCTTTGAGTTCCAGTGATTCTCTTGAATGCTTTTTCTGTTTTTTATTTCATTGATTTCTACTCTAAAGTTTATTACTTCTTGTCTTCAGCTTGCTTTGGCTTAAATTGCTCTTCTTTGTCTAGTTTTCTAAGGTGGAAGCTTAGGTTATTAATTTTGTAACTTTCTTCATTCAAATGTATGCATTTAATGACATACATTTTCCTCTAAGCACTGCTTTTGTTGCATCTCAGAAATTTGATATGTTGTATTTTAATTTTCATTTAGTTCAAAATATTTTTCTAATTTATCTTAAGGCTTCTTCTTTAACCCACGGGCTATTTAGAAATGTGTTAATTTCCAAATATTTGGGGGTTTTCTAGTTGTCTTTCTCTCATTGATTTCTAGTTTAACTCCACTGTGATCTAAGAACATACCTTGCAAGATTTCTATCCTTTTAAATTTGTCAAAGTATGTTTTATGGCCAGAATATGATCTATCTAGTGAATGTTCCATGTAAGTTTGAGAAGAATATGTATTCTACTGCTATTGGATGGAGCACCTTGAATTTTAAAATGAAGGAGCATTAAACCTAAACACTATTAAAAGATATTCTATTTAAAAATAATATTTAAATTTATCCTAAACTTCCTAGACACTGGCTCTATGAGTAAAGGCAGAGAAACAGGTAGTACATATCGAAAAGTGAATATTCGATCTTCCAGGAGATGATTTAACACACACATTTTCAGAAATAGTCACAAATGAATTTCTCTCATACTTTAAATGCTCTGCATGTCATAAAATTTTCCTCTTGCAATTTGTTGCTAACCAGAAACTAAGCATATGTATACACACACACACACACACACACACACACACACACACACACACACTTATATAATATACATATGAATTCATATGCAGGGAATAAACCTAATGCAATTTTTCTATGATTATGATTACAGTTGAAAAGATTAAAACTTCTGTGCCAGTTTTTTTAAAGAGGTAAGAAAAGGCAATGTTTGCTAAATGTAAAGAAAACATTCCATTTTTAGTCTCCTAAGATATTATTAAAAATAACATTTCATAAAATCTTCTGAGGGTATTTGAAATTCTGCATTTATATGACACCAGTTTCTAATTTAAACATAATTGGAGAGAACAAAATGAGAGTAAATTACATATAAAAGGGGGTAAAAGTACATGCCACTGACTAATGTTTTCTATAGCAGTCTCTTTGAATATTATAGTCAATAAGAGTCCAATGAGAAGGTTTGCATTTTGCCAGCCGCTTTCTGGATGACAAAATTGTTCTTTACATAATTACACAACATCTACCCAAGAGAATCTACAACAACCAAATAAATAAAGGGAGAAAAGTAACCTGGAAAAGTCAACTAATCAAGCTCTAATCAATGTAACAAAATTCAATCAACTAATCAACTGTGTTCTAATAGGACATCACCCAAACAATCCCACAAGCTTTGTTTCTAAAGCTCAGTATGACAGAAGGTGTTGAAACTCCCATTATATTGATTCAAAATTAATAATGCTCTATTATTAAATTAAATCTCTTCCTTATCTCATCTCAATTCCTCTTATAGTTTAACTTATAATTTAAGTTAACCAATGAATATTTCATTGTTCTACTTCCATTCAAACGATTGAATAAAACTGATTCTGGACAATTACTAGAATGAATAAAGCAAAAGAACGGCCACACAGTAAAATTTTGTTTTCAAGTTCAACCAATGGATGCTGTTAAAATAATAATAATATATATTTAAATGACGGGCTAATCCTTAAGTATGGTAATTCCTTTGAAAATTACCTTTTGTTGAATCATCCTCTATTGGCTGTTTGAACAACGTAATGTCCTTGAAAGTGCATAGGAACAAAACTACCTTTTCATGTTCATTTCTTATTGGTGCAATTTGCATATAAAACCAAACAGGGGTTCCTGTAAAAGAGAGAAAGGACAACAGAGCGTGACATAGCCACCACGATGATATCGTCTCCCTCTTTCCTTCCTCCTTCGGCCGCCAACTGCTATGCCAGGAATCAGCACCAAAACAATAGTATTGTAATTGCTGAAAAGAATCAAAACACCGTTCATTTTACATCAACTACCAGTTGCTCAAAAATTAATGAACATATTTTTCAACCCAAAATATCAAAATCTGAAAGTAAAGCATGGGGTGTCATTTCACAATGCAGTGGAATAAAGGCAGTCTTGCTATTTAAGCAATGCCAGCATCAGCTTTAGATCTGGGTCCCTACACCACTGCTGCCCTCACCACCTCCTTTCCATAGTCTCACCAAGTGTGAGCATTCCTCCTTGTCACTTTGAGAAGTGTTTCCAGTCGACTTCAACATCAATACCTGATGCTCTGATAAGTATTCCTCTTTGAGAAACTTTTGAAATGTTGCTTCTATCTCAAGACTCTTTCATCAGTCAGATAGACTTATAACTCTGTAGCTCTGACCACATCCCCACATCAGAGAGATACGATGTCAGCAACACTAGAAGCTTGATGTACACAGAGCTATACCTGAAGCCTTTAAGGCAGTGCTAAAGAAAAAAAAAAATGTCCCCAGGCCTTGAAAGTCTCAGGCATCTTCATGAGACACTGCTTCCAACCTTCCTCACTCAAAGCATGAGGCTGGTCTCTGTCACCATGTTCTTCAAACAGTGGCTCCTACAGACTCCAGAGGACATAGAGTTTCAAAGCATTCAAGGCTTAGGATTTGGACAAATTAGAAACTGGCAATGGGTCAAATAATAAATATCTGAAGACACAAGAAATGCCTTCAAAGGAGTAATTACCCATTAAATGATAGAACACTGAGGGAATGTTCCATCAGTATCAAAAAGACACATTTTTCCATTATAGTCTTTCCAAGCCACAGGCAGTAAAGCCTCTCCAAATATTCATTCTTAAAGACAGAAAGTCTTTTGTCAGTTTGGGATTTGGGGAGTGAAATGTGCAGCTGTTAATAATCTCTAGGTGAGAGTTGATAGCCTGTTAGTGACTTCCAATGAAAACCAATAAGTACCTCCACACCTGTGGCCAAAAATTGTCAGGTAACGATATCACCACAAAGGGGAATTTGCCATTTACCCAAGAATGGGTGACTTAACTACTGGGTGCTAGATGTCAGGGAATTCGAGAGAGATTTCTATAAATATTCAGTTCTGACAACCAGGTCCTTTGCAACCCCAGGGGGCCTACAGAAGGACATGGCCTTTTCCAAAATGATTACAGGATGAGACAGGGACCTCAAAAACAATCACACCATCTCCCAGAAAGGCTTGTTCTTTGTTCTCTGCTTCTTATTTTACACAGTGTGTCCAGGAACTGTGAGTGATGTACACAGTTTGACAAATCACCAGGCCCAGACGCTAGCAGATACATGGCCTATGGCTGTTCCAACACAGTGAGCTTGAGGCAGCGAGGTTATGAACAGAGAGAAAGGGGTATTAAAAATAAGTCATTTTCCAAGGTCTGCTAGAAATCTGAACAGAAAGAGATGTTACAGTTCATACCTTCTTATGAAAACAGCAACTTTTCAAATTTTGGCATTGAGTCAGAGCTGTTTTTAAAATTGTTTTCAGATATCACTGTATACTATTTTCAGGTTTAGTCACAGGCTCAGACTTCTCCAAGTAGGCTGAGTTTTTGCTGAGTGGTTGGTGAAATATCCATATTCTGGATTTGGGGTTCAAGGAGACGGGAAGTCTGGAGGGTTAGGTAGAGAGGCCTGTAGCTGCTGGAAACTAGAGGCAGTGCCCTGGCATTGATTATTTGGAGTTGCCCTAGCTGTCACAGTTCTGCATTTGTATAAACAGAAAGATCCATTTTCAGTCATCATCCCAGAGCCACTGCTTCTTTCTCAAGAGTAGAAGCAGCCCACTGTTAATCAGAGCAATGGACCTAAAGAATAGAGGCTGCAAACTGAAATGTCAATTGTGACACATATTAAATCAGATACTTCAATCTCCCTGTCTGCAAATGGTGTTTAGCTAATTATTTAATGGAAGTGTTGGGAGGACTTGGCATTCAGGCATTCCCAAAACAGTTCTCTACAGGCATGTGAATTTTTCTAACATTAAAAAACGTCATAAGAACACACTTTTTTCAGTTGTTGTTCAAAAGCCTTTAGCTATTTACAAGATTTTTTAAAGCTGCTTTTAAGTATAGTAGAACTGCCTTATAATGCATGGATAATATCTATTCTTCATATTAAAGAAAAAACACTCAATGCAGATACTTTCCAGAAGAGACAGGAGTTTTAATCTATAGTGCTATGGGCCATAACTCCTACTGGCTCTAAGCAGACAGCTACATGTGTATAGATACTGTATAGATCTGAAAAGAGCCAGACAGGCCTGAACAAAGGTCAGACAATTATTACAAGCTATTAAAATAAAGCAAACTATCCAAACCACCTTGGAAGGAAACTTTTGGAAATGAAATATTAAAGCTATTGTTAACATGATTTAAAGGATCTAAACAAAACAAAATTTCCACAAAGGTATTTTTGAGAAAATCAGAAACTATGGACTTGGCTTTGAAGCTTAAAATCAGAAAACGATTCGTTTATTCTGTTTAAATCCCAGGGTTAAATGACCCTAGTAATATGGAATATTCTTAAATTATTTGCTAAACTCGAGGTACATATTGAAGTCATTCAAGGGATAACAACCCTATATGAAAATGACAGGGGGCATTCCCTGCTGGTCCAGTGGTTAGGACTCTGCACTTCCAAGGCAGGGGGCACAGGTTTGATCCCTGGTTGGGGAACTAAGATCCCACAAGACTCGTGGCACAGCAAAAAAAAAAAAAAAATGAAAGGGAGTTTTGGCATATGGGTCTACTACAGCTTATCAGTATGTATTTGGACCTAGTGAAAAAAAAAACAGAAAGCACCTAGAGACTGGCTTTTCTCTTGTAGAAGACAGAGCTGATCATTCAGAATGGATTGTTTTCTAGTTGGTAAGCCAACGGACATTTGGCTATGATGTCAAAGAGAAATACATTTTCAGCCTTGATTCTAAAATGAAAGATAAGATGATAAGACATTCCTTAAATAAAACCACTGGAGACTGGTGCTCCCATAACTAGGTGATACTGGTAATGGAACTTTACTACTACTGTGAAGCAATGTCTATGGTTGTTGTTATCCCTATGATGATCTATTAATAAAAAGAGAAACCTAAATGAAATTCTAAATATTCCATAGAGAACAAATGTTTAAGGTACAATGGAGAGGATAAATTATGCTCCACAAAACCCAACCGGCACTAAACACAGTACAAGCGCTTCCTGTTGAAGCTAGAATGCTTCCTGAACTGGGAAAGAATTTAGTAACCATCAATTTCCACTAAAGATAATAATTGGCTTTGATTTCATTTAACATTAACACTAAATAAGTTGACTCATCTTATGCAGTGACTGTTCTTTTAAAAAAAAAAAACTCTGGAAATGCAGCAAAAAAGAAATAAAGTAAGTGACTATTCAAAGAAAACAAATTAGAAAGGAGACTTGGTTGATGAGTGTACTAGTTAGCTTTTTGTTTGGTTGTTTTTTTCCTCCAAACTCCAATGGAGAGTCTCATCAGACTCTCCCATAATTGCCTAAGACCCATATCATGAGGTCTTATGTGATTATATAACAGGCAATTGACCACCCACAAATCCCATCATGGAGAACAGCAAACAACAATCAACACAAAGTTACCAGATGTGAATGGCCCATCCTGAAAGTAATGACTACTTCCACTCAAAAGTCTAGCACAAAAACAGTCTGAGTCTAGCAAACAGCCATACTGGTAAAGATTCACCTCAGGTAGATACCATATACTCACGTCATCTACATATGTGTAGAAACGTAATCACACATACCCATTGACACCAATCAACTTTCCCTTTAACTGTAAGAAGAAATGAATGAATTTCTCTGTCATTTTTAGTTGCTTTCACAACTATAGGATCTTTACCATGAGTATTAATCACAGAACATTTTGCCACCTGACACACAAAAAATCACATTCAAAATGAATTATATTTTTCTTTCAGTCCTCAAAAGGTTGCTTTTCATAAGTATTATTTATTAATTTTGCTATCTAATTTTTACAAGTACCTCCTGCCAAGAGAAGCAATAAAAGTTTTAGATTCTCTCTACACTATAGCTTAACTACCACTTACCAAGATGCAATATTAATAAAGAGTTGACACACCTTATTCGTAATATAGATACCTACTGTTTTTCTTGTACAAAAGAACTTCAAAGCAGTTTGACTCGTAGTTGTCAAAAGTCTGCCTGACTTTCTCAATGGTTTTCTTGTCAGTCAATTCTCCATACATAAAACTGGAAAAAACACCAAACAATCCATTTCAGTTTTGTGTTCCTTTTCAAATGCTACATAAAATCATATATTTGTCTTTTTTTAATCAAGTATTCGGATTTAGTTACAAAATATAATGTTGCTCCCACAAAATGAACTTAAATATTTAAACCATGTTTTAACCATGACTGCTAAACTTCCTGCTAAAATCTAGCTTTGGAAGTTATTTTGAACATACAGAGAGAGAGAAAGAGAGAGAGAAGCAGTCTTCACTTTACACAAGTCCAATATGCAGTAATTTTAGTTACTATGCTTTAGTTAAATAATACCAGTTTCCCAACAACACAGTTCAAATTTTGGTTTTCATAGTATATTAACTGTGAATGATAGCATAAAGTATAAACTTTGTTGCTAGCTCATCAGTCTACAAGTCACTAGTAAATAGCAAGTACACATTACAATCAGTGACAAATCACACCACTTCTTTTAAAGCCTGTCAGTATTACTGTGCATCTACTACTACTCAGTTCATGCACAGAAAGCGAAGTGTGTAGTTGTGTTGTCTCCTTGTCTCTCAGTGGTAAACTAATATGACATTTTACAAAAATGGATAAACAAAAGCAGGAATTAGCCATCAAAGATTAAAGTCTACCAAAGAAATGTAAAGTGATAATGCTGGAAGTGAAATTCAAATTAAACATAAATGAAGTTATTTCTTCTATAAGAATAGTGGGAATGTTGACACTGCTGTCATTTGAGAGGCTCTAGACATGCAGGCAGAGGAACCTAGTGAGGACAAACTTATCAACATAAATCAGGGAAGGGCCTGTTACAAGAAAGACCAAGGTTTCCCAGAGGAAGTCATGCCAGTAAAATAATCTTCACATTAAAGGAGCCCTAGGAGGTAATTCACGATACTGAAAGTGGAAGGATAAAAGAGATGAAGTGGATTCAAACTTAAAATGAGTATGACTGTTTGCTAAGAGATTAAAAAAAAAATGCTCTCTTCATATCATAAAATATATTACGAGAATGTAAGAATTGTTCAAATGACTTGTGATAGCTTTTTACAAAGAAATGAAACACTTTCATCTCAATGTTTCTAATGTTATAGATCACTAAATACTCTAATGTACAAGATAAATATTAGTTTGACTATTATTTTCATTTCCCTGCACTTATAACCAACAGTAAGAGATTTTTTAATGCTTTGGCAAATGCTGTTAAAGGTCACAGAACAATCATAATTTTTCAATTGAGTATTAATATCCTATTACATGGTTTCAGCTTGCATGGTCTTTTTTACACTCCCATACTGCAATGAAATGTGAAGACTCCGTATTACACATATACTGCATTGGCATTCTCACTATGTATGAGGATTTTTCTGAAATATGTACAAGTAGAGCCAATGGAGGGAAAATAAAGAAGAGAAATTGAAGGAGACATATGCTATTACTATGGCACATACAAAACATAGATTAAAGAGTGAATTTCCACATACCACAAACATTTCCTAACATTTTAAATTATCTATTTTTTCTAAGAGAAACTCACCAATAGTCTGAGAATTTACAAAACAGAACTCAGTCAAGCACTACAAGCCTATAAAACCCTATTCCTGATGCTTTCCCAATCATCAGTTGTGCATCTGGTTTCAGATACATAGTTCTACTACTTGCTATAATTGTCCAGACCATTTCTTCCACCAGTAAAAAATGTGTGGCACTTGACTAAGTGTTTGAAGGCTCAAGTATATCTTTGTTATTGCTTTTCTTTTAGTTTTCAATAAATTAGCTTATTAGCCAGGTAAATCCAAGTGTGGCGGGGCCTGAAGCTTATACAATTTTAGGGGCCATCTTTAAGGAAAGGAATGCAAAATTATAAAACAAAATTAGGTACAGAGGCTTGAGAGACATGATGTCACTCAAGTAAAGGCCCGTGAAGGTTAAGATTCTTTATCCTCATGGGAAATCAGTTCCTGAATGTCTCAATCTAGAAAGTTTACAACATGAAAAGCACAGTTTATTAGCAAGAGCCAGCAAAACTAGCAGGATTCAACCATGAAACCATATCACAACTAAAAATTATAGAGTAACCTGCTGTATTAAAAAATAAATAAAAAATAAATAAATAAATAAAATAAAATTCAAAAATTCCCCCCCCCCCAAAAAAATTACAGAGTAATGACCCATCTTATGGTAACACTAACCTAAGCAACTAGAATTCTAAAAACTAAGAAAGTAGATGAGGCCAACCAAAGATTGTCTAATCTGTGGCCTGCATTTTCAATACAATACTTTTCTCTTTTATAAAAAAGGAATTTTTAATTGTCATTATAATAGTAAAATAAGCAAGAGAATATCAGAATAGGATGACAGACTCTAACTGCATAATCCTATAGCCAGACTAACACATGAAGCTTCAGAGGGCATTGAAAAGCCACTGTTCCTGTCAAAGCCTGAGTTTCAGTTTATGCGAATTTTATGAAAATCTCCTGAGGGCATTATAATTAAATTAGAATTCCTCAGTTAAAGTGCACAAAGTCACCCTCCTTTCCTCCCCACAAATAAAACACTATTTAATACTGTTACAGACAAGTAAACTTTTTTATTGACTGTTATTTTTAACCTAAAGACAGTAATAAAGAGAAAACATTAAAAATACAAAAAATAATAATAATATGGGTAATTAAACTAAATAAATGTTTATGGTCTTAAAAAAAAGAGAAAGTATTTACTCCTATTACTAAATGTCAGAGTCAATAGTTCAGTAAACCAAAACACAATATTCATAATTGGCCAACAGAAAAACATAAAAAAGAAATCATCTATAATATAACAAGCAACCAGGATAAAAATGGTGAAAAATTAACTCGAATAGGATTAAAAATGTTACAACTCAAATTTAAAAAAAGAAACTGTCTTAGAAATTGATGTAATAATACCACTTAAGAAGAAATACAACACAAGTCGGATTCAGCTCAAATGCTGAAGAGAAGGTGAAAACAAGCAATTTCTCAAATAAACTCTGAAAATTCTATAACCCATTCTTTAGCCCTCCCAATGCTAAAATAGACTGTCCTAAGAAAATAGGATCATTTTAAGAAAAAAATCCCAGCTTATTATACTCTGAATAATTTTTCAAAAATAGGTTTTATTTCTTACACAGTTTCACTCATATTTTTATTTTAAGTTTTAAAACTATGTATTTCCAGAGACAGAACACATATTTGAAGTGGTAAAATGCAGCAGTTACATAACAAAAGATATTTCAAAATGACCTGAAAGAATGTCTGAAATGTATTATCCAATTTTCCAAAGCAAGTGTTCTGGAGATTAATTCAAACTTTGAAAGTGTTTCCACCCAAAGTTGTCCAAACCAAAATGACTAAATCAATGCTTCTGCATATTTTACGTGTATGGCACATTTGCTTACTTGCTCGGCACTTCTTATGTGTAAATGTTGAATTTCTTTACCGAGGTTTCCTGCAGCCTGATTGCAGATGGCTGAAGCTCAATGCAGTCTTTGAATGGTTAATGGGATTTGAAGGAAACCAAGATTTAGAAATGATAATCATTGGACTTTAGAAACTATATATCTATATAATAATCTTACTTTTTATGTCTCTTATTGAATATCCTCCAGGAATATATAATGCGAATACTAAAAAATCACAGAACTTCAAATTACTCTCTTAGATAGCCAAGCTCCCCTTCAGTAATAATAAATGACTTCTACAACTGCACTGTTATCTTATTGGAAGGAAAATAAAATTAGATGCACAGAAGCAATCTATCCCTGCTATAATATGGAGCAGCCACAATATAACAGAGGACCACTGCACTTAGAGGACCACTTACAATCTGTAAGGCTCATGGCCAAGTCGTATAACTTCTCTGACTCTTATTTCCCTCATCAGTAAAATGATGGTAATGTTAATATAACTCAGAGGGTGAGGATTAAAAGGATAATGCACATGAAGTTGCAAATTATAATGTGCTGTACAATGACTTATTACTGGAATGCTTCTCATGGGTGGGGTTAGAAGCCCCTCCAGCCCAACCCTACTCCTTTGCTCCTCTACAATTCTAGGGCAAGGGTTGGGCCATGCCTGCTAATGGGCAGGGTCCCTGTGTCTTAAAGGGATACACACATCATTTTGTGTGTCTTCTTTCTTTGTGAACCCATGACATTGAGGCATAAATTCACCCAGGGCCTCCCCCAGGGCCTGCTGCTGGATAATCTGGCCACTTACCTTGCCACACAACTAACTTGTGGGAAGACTTGATCTTGGGAGTAAGGGAGATTTCCTGAGGCCTGGCTTGGGCCATATCCAGCTTCCCTGAGCATTTGGCAGTATATCTTTCCTGTATATCCTACCCTAGGAAACTTCTAGGACTAGGTGGTTTGGTTTATAGCAAGATTTACTTATTTTTGGATCCCTTGTTTTGCCATCAAAATCTCACAAACCAGTCTCATTATAACACCTGACAGTAAGTATGGCTATAATGTTGACAGACTTCCAAAGGAGAAAGGAATCTTACAAACTGAAAAAATATATAATCTAATCATGAGTGCTGCCAATCTATCTTAATCTGCTAATGGTCAACAATGTTCCTGGACTAATAAGCACACAAACATTCAGTCAAACACTGAATGTTTCAACACTTTCACTCATTGTGAAGCAGAGCTCTCAGCCAAATGGAACCAGACTGACTGACATCCATCATGTGTAATGTTCTCTTGTTGACTAAGGTAACCCTGCGTTAATAAAACTACCTGTGAAAATACATCCAACAAAGTGGCTCTTAATATCGCTGCTTCATCGTCTAATTTGATAGTTTGGTTAAGAATTATTAATGGGCCTTCCAAAAAAAAAAAAGTATTTGAAAGCATCTATCTACTCCAATCTTCCCTACCTATCTGATTGCTCTTCTCACCCCTTTATCTTAAAACACAAAAATAAATAAATGAAAAATAAATTTTAAAAGAAGTAGAACAGGTTTTTAAAAGGTTCAGG